CCCGCGTATACTGGAACTGTCTAATGAACGAGACCATCCTCGTACAAGAGCTGCACCTCCCACCAAGCGGCCTCTCCCGTCTCGAAGAACAAGTCCCAATTCCCAAATTCATCGGCTTCGAAACAACCGGCTACGCCTCGAACCGTTTCAACTCATCCAGCGTAGTGGACGACTCATACTTCCAATATCATTTCCTGGCCCAGGTAGCCCACCGTATCATCCTCACGCGGATCCGCCATTCACTCTACTTCTACTGTGAGTAATCCCGCCAATCCACCCAGACACCCAGGCACCCTCTAACACCCACCCTCCATTAGCGGATTCAGGAACATTCCCCCTCCCAGCAATAAACACCGAGCTACACCACCAACTAGAACAATGGCGCACCAACCTCCCAACAGCAATCCAATTCAACAACGCCCCCTACTCATCCCACCCAACCCCAGCAACACCCTCCATCCACACCTCCCCACCCGCCTCAGTAGCATCGCCAGCCCACCTCTCCTCCCCAAGATCAAGACCCACAGACCCGAACCAGCCCCTTTCCCCCGCAATAGCAGTAGCAGACGCCATGCTTAAAGGCCGGTACATGATCGCGCGCTTCCACATCGGCCGTCCGTATCTATACAAAGCTCTCCGCATCCCGCACCTCCTAACAGACGAAGACTTCGTGCAAGTGCGCAGCGGTCTGCAGAATGCAATGGACTGGCCGGTTACTCAGGGTATCTTCCGGAAAATGAAGAGCTGTATTCCGATTAAGTTTGCTTTTTGCTCGCAGTGAGTTTTGCTTCTATGTTTTCCTTTGATGCCTAAGACTACGTGTTTGGGAATCTTTAACTGACTTTTTTCTTGAAGATTCTTTGGTCAGATCTTGCTCTTCTATTGTATAGCTCATTCGCCAAGTGCCCGTCTCCGTGAGACGCTACCGGATGGCTGGGAACGATGGAACGAGGAGATGCTAGGGTTTTTGGAGGACTGTGCTGTGCATAGTCCAGCTGTCACGCAGGATCTGGAACTGTTGCGGTATCTATGGCCTGATAATTAGGTGTTTTGCGTTTTGCGTTTTGCGTTTTGCGATTTATGGGATGGGGTATATTTTATTTTGCGAGAGATGGATTCTGTTCATTTCTATCTCTACAACTACCTTTATGGCAATTTGTTTATTTGCGCATGGGGCTGAGTAGATTATTCGCAGTGGATTTGCTATTGTACGCATCTAGTAGGCCATGACGTGCAACTGGACAACTATTGGAAGGCACCACTCGATCCCAAACAGGCAGGAAGGGACTGGCAAGGGACTGCCCCAAGGCAAGAGCGTTCCTGGGACTCTGCCTGAGGAAGGAACGATAACAAAAGTGGGTATAAATTGAAAGTTAAGGCAGATATTGTAACCTTTATTTCATCTTTCACGTGTGTACAAGATCAATGTTTGAATCCGAATCATTCAGTATAGCTATGTCTATATACAAGGGCTAGGCCTCATTTATCATGTAGCACCTGCTTAAGACAAGGAAGGGTATTGCGAAAAATCAAAACGAAACTAGAACAAGTGTTTCTGCAGGGATATTGTCTGAACACCACACGAACAAGATACTAGACGACACCCCATGCCATGATGCATGGGGGATGCATATCAGAGAGCCCAATCCTCGGCCGTTTCCGATTTTCCGATGAAGGGTTTGTCAATTTGTTTGATGGCATGGTCACCGCAGAGGATACTGGAAAGATGGTTAGTGAGATATACTAATAAGTTAATAGGGAAAACACATACCAGGCTTCAGCGACCAGCCCATCTAATTCCTTAACAATCTCCTCGCGCCGCGAGGAAGAGATATCACCACTGCTGAGCTGCGCCTGCAGATCCCGAATATACTTTTTCTTGCCACCAGCACCGTCCAAGACTTCCCTACCCAGGCAGTCACTGTGGAAAGAATGCTGACAGGGGAAGACGAAGAACTGACGGCTGAGAACTGGTAGCGAGCAGATCCAGCACTTCTCACCTGGCTCAACGATGGCGTAGCGAGTATCGAGACCGGAAATCTCACCGCGGATTTGGCGGGCTGTCAGGGCTGAGTTATCCATCTCCTGGCGGAGCGAGTCAATGTGGCGCGAGTAGTCCTCTAAAGCAGTACAAATCTCATCCTTGAAGTCGTCGATGACGACAAAATCGGGGAAGAACGGGATCAGGTCCTCGATGCGGAGCAGCTCGCAGCGGCGCAGGAATTCAATCGCCTCTTTGATACCTGTGCCCGGTTGGCGGATCTTCTTCTCAGCGACGAGGAGCCATAGCTTTTTGCGGAGCTTGTCGTTGCCCTCCGGGCGGTCTGCGACGATCGCAGCAAGTTCTATGTCTTTGTGCTCCAGGGCTAGCTCTACAGCTTGTAGATACTGCCCCATTGTGCTGTATATGTGAATGCATGATTGGATTCGTTGATTCTGAATGCATAAACGAAGTGCGAAGTCTGCATCGTATGGAGGGTGGGGTGACGGTTGCGATTGGAGATAAGTAAGCAGTCCAGCCTCAGACGGTGAAGGACTGGAGGCATGTATTGAGATAAGGGTGTTGTGGACTGCTGCGGATGGATTTGGATGATTGACAATGATGAAGTTTAGATACCGGACGGCTTGGTTCTGGTTGAGGGAGGAGACGATGGCTGATTTGTTGTAATTCAACAACGCAGGGATCAGTCTCTCAGGATCAAGGTTCGTTTGTCGCATCAGGATATCAACCAGGTCTGTCGGCTTGTGTGTCATGAGCACGCTGCTATATTTGTAGAACACATCGGGTTCGCTTTGCCGCTGCAAGACCTTCAAGGCTTCCAGCCATTTCTCGCGCTGAATCCAGTACGATAGAACATAGTTGTAATCGTTTGTAGCGGTTGCGAAGAACAACAATTCTTCCTCCCGCCCGTGGCTGCTGATAATATCATATACTGTTTTCTTGTCCAAGTCTGCTTTGTGGCTGTTCACGAACTCTTGGAAATCAGTTCGGATGCTGCCAAGCTGATCCTTGATTTCTCCAGTGCTTGTGCCTTCTGCCAATTCGGCTTTGGTGGCGATATTGTCATCGAGAGAATTCAACTTCGACATGAACAGTTCCACAAGCCAGCTCGCGACCATTATTCTTTGCATAAGCGAGGCCTTTTTGTATGTTGCCAGCTGAGAGAGGAGGTAGTTCCGCAAAGCATCATGCTCTTTATGATCAATCATGGTAAGACAAACCTCCTCGAACCCTTTACTGCTCTTGCCCCATACTTTGGCTGCCTCGAGGAAGTTACCCTTAGATGCCAAAAAATCACCCGAAGCAGTCATGACAGCATCTCGCTGGGCAGCACCTCGTGCATACTGAAGGGCCTCATCGAATTTCTGCTCTTTCAAGAAGGTTCTCCAGACATCTCTATCCTCATCACCTGCTACAACTTCAAAAATGGCCTGGCTGGTGAAGAGCCAATACGTGTTTTTGGTGAGGTCAGTCAAGAGGCCCAGAGCGCTTTGCCCAGCTTCCAACACGGGTTGATCGTGGACAACCTCCTGGCTGAGACGATTGACTGCGACCACTCTGCCCCCAACAAGTGCTAGGACATGCCACTGAGACAGAGTCATGGCAGAAATGGGGTCTTGTATCAATTTCCGCCCTCCTCGCGGTGATTCAGAAGCTGGAAATAGCGAGCGCGGAAGCATCCTTGCCGTCTTGAATGGAGGTTCCGACGTAAGTTGGCCATGATATATCCCCTCGGAGCTGAGCCACGCAAACTGCTTTTCGGTATAACCCTCGGCTTGGTAACCCTCTGAAATTGTGGGCGAAATTACCAGCGAGGATGGCGCAGAGCTAGACGCATTTGGAACCTCGTGGATCACTGGCGTCTCGCGCTGGAAAAGGTCTGAATACACGCCGCTTTCCCTTCCATGCTTTGAGACTCCTGTCCGGCCAATGAAATGAAGTAGCTTCCCATAGGTTGCCACAAGCACTCTTCTTTGATCAGGCGTAGAGGACACTGTTTCCGCGGCGATTCCGATCACCGGAGAGGCACCTGGCACCTGGTAGACGGGGGTGGTATACTTCTCCTGCCGGTAGCTGGAGGGTTCAATATAAGTCTCGTAGATGTTGCCATCAGTGGCACCAATGAGGATTTCCCGAGTAGATGCAGTCGGTAAAGACGGATTCCAAGCAACGCTTTCGATTGACACGCCTTTTAATCGTGCCAAGGGTTTCGGTTGTCGCGACGGTGACTGGGCATGGAGATAGTAGTTTTCGCCGAGGGTCGTGGTGATAATCAAATGAGATGCCGAAGGGTCGAGGAACATGCGCCGAATCACTCCTATTTCCGAGGATTTCTTAGGGAGATCGATGTCTATTCATGAGCACGGTTAGGTCAACATGTTGTGGCTGGCATCTGCTGCGGGGAAGGTTCGGAAGTTTACCTTCGACATCTTCAGGGGAATCAAGATCGATTCGTAGAATGCGATTGGTCGATAGGGCCAGTACAAGCACGTTGTTTGCGACTTGCGCTGCAACGAAGTCCGCAGCGACGGCGAAGGCCAACTGCACTCGTTCAACGTCGAACATTGGGAGGGAAGAGCTCGGTGGCTCCATTAAGTTGCTCGGAGCAACATAACTGCTGGATGGGTCCAGCGCCATAGTGCGCTAGCTGTAGGGGCACTATGTCATGCCGCTCATAGAAGAGTTGAGGCAAGCCGAGGGTTCTGCGAGTTTATGCAGGACGGAATGGGCTCTTGAGGTCAGCCCTGATGCCTTGACACCTGAGGCCAAGCACTCGGATCACCAAATCAGAACTATACAGTTAACTAGTTACGCAGATCTATAACAAGGCAAAATAAGCAAATTTGTAGACATCTATGAATTCTATCATAAATTGCAAGTACTAAAGTCCCTCCGCTCATGTATCATAGGGTATCATCGTTGCTGAAACATGCGACATCTAGACTGTGGACTGGGTATCTCAACACAAAAAAAAAAGGAAATCCTCGCATCACCAGCCTCACATCACTACACATTCCCGATCTATTTTCCTGTTCTTCTCCTTGGATTTCTCCTTGGTCTTCCCTTTATTCCTCTCGCGATCCTTCGTTCGGCCTCTCCCACGCTTCTCCTTGTGCTCATGTCCGAATTTCGTATCGTCCACAGTGTCATCAATCTCCAATGCGGACTCATCCTCTCCATTTTCTTCAGTAAATCCGTCGTTGCTAATCTTATCCCGACTAAGCCGTTCAGCAAAGCGTGAAAAAGTGGCACTGATTCTGTTTTCACTCGTTTGGCTGCCAGCACGGCTTCCGGGGCTACCCCTGGTCGATCGAGATCCACCCTTTGTGCTCTCCTTTGGGCTTCCTTCTTCCGTCGGTGCCAGCCTAGGCGATGAGGACGGAATAGAGCGCGGCTGAAGACCAGCTGGGTTACTGATTTCTGAGAATGCCATGCTAGGTCGCCTTGCGATACTGGCTAATGTTGGCGCATTATTCTCGCCTGGCCCTGTGACCTCAACACTTGGTCGGTCAGAAGAAAAGTCTTCCATGCTGAAATCTGTTTGGTCGCCTAGTGTACTGCCGTCTGACGCCCGAGACGATGGTGGGTTCGGAATGTTGGGCGCAGCTGGGTCTGCGCCGATCGGAAGAATTTGGTAGAACAGAAGATAGGGAGACTCGGTCTTCAATGCTTGATCAATGTCAACCAGCGTCACTCGTTCTGCGGCGAGATCATCGAACCGCATCCAGTGTTTTGATGTCTCCGAGGATTCCGGGCCTGTGGCAGAATTGGGGCAACTGGTGCCTCGAACAATGGAAATGTAATGTCCCGAGTCAACCGAGTTCCCCCTGTGGCAAACCAGAGCCTGCAAAGATAGTTTAAAGCTCCCATAAATGGGAGCATTCGCATCCATGTTGTCGTCTTGGATGAAGTGAGGCAGGCCGATCTCAGTTGGGATATCAATGTGTGTATTGAGTCTGACTGCCCTCCCATTTGGCAAGAAGGAATAGCGTTTTAGGCACATCCCAAGAATGGGCCGTTTTGTGGAAAAGTGTGCTGCAACTTGCGCATCGTTTGTTGGCGTATTATCGGTATACCATGCTAAGCAAGATTAGGTCAGTTGATGCAAAACTTCAAGAACAGGACGAAAGATGACTTACGTATCAAACTGAAGAATTGCCACGCAGGCATCATTACCTCTTTCTTGTATGAACCCCTTCGCTGTTGCGTATCTCCAGTAGTATCTTGATCTGCATTGGTAACTTTCTCCGGATTCGGATCTGTCTTTGTAGGATCACTATCCGGAAAGAACCGCTCTCGAACAATACTACCATTTCGACCCGGTACCCGAGATGCCGCGAGGGATTCAGTGAACTCATCAAACGATGACCAGGGGGTTGGCTTTTCGACCCGCGACGTAGTTGATTGAACAGGAGACATAGTGGGTGTGCTCTCAACCTCCACTATTTCAACATGTGAAGTGGATCCCTTGGATATGGAGAGTGAATCCATTGAATCTCTCGCGGTGTTGCGTCGTTCCATGTGTCGTTTGACTTCAATGATGTTATTGAAATAAGCTTCCAGACAGTCTTCTAGCGTGAGTGAATGTCCATCGGTTGGCTCAGGCGGGATGGCAACCTCGAGAAGTCTCTCATTGATGAACTTATGGTCATCACTTGCATCCTCCTTTCCAGTATGAAAAATATCCATCTTCAATGTGAGAAGCGGCAGCTCTAACTTTCCGGTGATGAAAGTGAATGCTTCCGAAGCATCCTGTTGCTGAAGTTTGGCCGCATCTTCCCAGCCACATTCTGCTAGGGCATCCTGTAGGTGTTTTGTCTGAAACCATTAGTCAATACCAGATATGAGCACAATAACAAGTGTTAAACTAACCATATCTGTGGTGATAAGCTTCCCCGATCGTAACAGATTCACCCATAGCCTTAGAAGGATCACAAGCTTTCGACGAGGCTCATCATTAAACGATTTGTATAGAATGGCTTCAAAACAATCGAGACGGGCAAACATGGCGAACAACAATGCATCTAGGTAGCATGTGACACCTTGGCGATTCTCTGCACCTAGGAGCTTGGTGTTGGGTGTGTAATTCCTGATGATGCCCTCAATTGAGTCCTCTAGTAGAAGTAGCAGGCCGAATGCTTTCTCTGTATCGCCTTGTGTAGCTTGCAATGCATAACTAATGTGATCTTCCTGTAAGGCAGTGATTCCCAGTTGTTTAATTCGTTGAGCAAGGGCTTTGACCTAGATGTGAATTTGCAACGTTAGACAGGTGCAAGCTGACCGTTGTGCTTAGCCATACCTTCTTCTGATGATCGTGATTATCTGCCAGTGAAGTCTCCGACTTGAAGATTCCATGGAACAGAGGACGTGAAAGGATATGGGATGCCTAGGAAGTACAGAACATTAGCCAAAGATCTTGTGTTTAGGCATCAAAGCGTTCTTAGCATACCTCTTCTTTGCTTTGCTTGTTCAACTTATTGTGCCGATCGCGACGCGTCAGGAACCGATGAATTCCACTCATTATCACGGATCAGAAAAAAGAAAATACTCTTAAGAGCAGAGTTTAAAGATCGAAACGAAAATCCCATGGAGACATGCGGGGGATCATGAGACCGGTGTTCCGTAAACTAGCTCACAACTTAGTCAAGGCTGCAGGATTTGGGGGAAACGCATGTATAATGCATCATAAGTAGAGCTCTTTCAAAACGAACGAAAAGAAGTAAGATAGTCTCGAAGGATTTGAAGTCGATGGACGAACCTCTAAGTGATCTGCGGGGCAGAGCGGGAACAGAGAACCTAAGCCGGAGATCGACCTTTTGCTGCCCTAACCTTGGAAAGCTCTCCACCGCCTAAGTCCGGGTGTGGGCGGTGACGAGGAACTTCCAGAACATTTGGAGATATGAAGTATATAAGTGCATACCTATGTGTGTGTAGGAAGATTCATAAGAAACGACAAGACTCATATACCACTTCATCCTAGCAAACCCCAAAGATTGTCTTGCTCGGTGACATGTTCGTCTAGTCGACGTCAGATTCAGATTCTTCTAGAATGGAACTATTACAACTATATAAATGTCTAATTTAGTGGTATTCCAAAATATACGGAGTATAGCATAGGAAGTCTAGGTTAAAAGGCAGGTATTTACATAGTATCTAGTAGGGCTATGTTCTTATATAGTTATATAGAGCCCTATAAGCTCCTAGTCTTGTCCTTATAGTACAGTAGTTGTTCCTCGCTCTATAATTGCGTGAACCATACCTATATGTATCCATGGATAGGTGTAGGTATTGCATTATCATTCATACCGCAGACCTGCTCCTCTAAATAGCCGTCCAGCGAGGAGTCAGGACCCTACTAGGCAAAGATTGCTAGCCCACTCATCACCCCTTGAGGATTGAGTAGGAATTTCTAGCCAACTTCATGCATAATAAGGAATATATCCCAACAATTGCAGTAGTAGGTGCGGTAATAACTCGGAACAAGCCCTATGTTTGGTCATTGGATTTGGTCAAGTCTTCGCGGATATAATCACATATCTAACATCTATCTAAAATTGAAATTGGGCAATTCCACCATAACGGAATATGACGAAGACTTCAGCCGAGCAATAATTGACGATCAGGTACGTATCCATGGATGAGTTACGGAGGACGGAGTAGTTGGAGGTGGATATAGTGCCTGTTTTGTAAGGCGTTATTACCCAGTCCTCACGTGACGGGATTATCTGCGCGAACAATTTTTGGTAAGGGCCCGGGCTTATCCTCAATCCATCACACCCCATTTTTCACAGAATGGCTGCCAGAGAGCCGTGCAGATACCTAACAAGGGCATTGCCCCGGGCCTCAGTGCCATCAATTCGCCCTCAAGGCTTTTTCTCGAGCCGCAATGTCTCTGATGAAGCCCCAGCCAGGCGTCTGTCGGACCACCTAACCGAGCTAGAAACGGCGTCGTCGCTGTCAACACCTGTCCCAGACAGCGCAGCAGCATCGTTCGATCCGCTTGCACGAGCATCCGCTCGCAAGACCCAGCTTCCCCGAGGCCGGTAAGAGCACTCCGACTACATCTTCGGTCATGCGCATCTGCAGACATGAAAACAACATCGAACATACTCAATGAACAATAACTAACTCCGACACCTTATCACAGATACCAATTCCGCTCCCCCAAATACAACCGTGGTCCCCTCCACCCTCACCAACCGCCGCCACCATCCGACCCCTCCTCCCGGCTGTTCGTGCCAGGCCCATTCTCCGCGCCCCGAGCAGAGCAGACCTTCGACTCAACCGTCTCCCCCGACATTATGACCCTGTGCTACGTGCACACGCCACCAGGCTTCAAGCCGCCGCCGAAATCGGCCCGTCTCCGCGAGTGGGACGACAGCTCGCCATATCACAAGAACCGTGTCCTCCGCGGTCCCCGTGGCGGCGACGTCCTGCGCCTGCTCCGCAAGCCGATCAAGTTCAACAACATCCCGGAAATCGAGCGCATCACAATCCACAGCTATGTCAAGAATGCCGCGGCTGAGCGGAACTCGTCTTGGCTGCACGTCGCTGGTATTGCCATTCAGGCCATCTCCAATGTGCGCGTTCAGACTTTCAAGTCCAAGTCTAACGTTGCTCCTTGGGGTATTGCGGCGAACCGTGACTCCGTCGCTGTAAAGGCAGAGCTGTATGGCGAGAACATGTACCACTTCTTTGGTAAGCTGGTTGATGTCGTCTTGCCCCGTATCAAGGATTGGGAGGGTGTCAAGGGGTCCAGTGGTGATAGCAGTGGTAACATCACTTTCGGTCTGATTCCGGAGAATGTTGCTCTTTTCCCGGAGCTTGAGGTCAACTACGATATGTAAGTGTTCTCTATTCTATGTTTCTATTGTCTTGTCAAGGCTAACCCTGCTTCATAGGTATCCTCCTAAGATGATCCCCGGTTGCCACATCACTCTCCACACTACCGCCAAGACCGACAAGGATGCACGACTTCTGTTGAGTGCCATGGGTATTCCTTTCTACGGCAAGATCGTGAACTAAATCGACTACTTTTGGTATCTTATTATATCTCCTTTTGGATAGTCTTGTGATATCCAGCATGTAACTTTAGAGAAGACCTGCATAATGGTCGTTGTTATTATTGGAATCGTGTACTATGGCTTAAATTCAATCTACATTTACGGCGAACAACAGCACACAGCACAGGATGATTGGAAAGTGTCAACAGGAATCTTTGCTCAGTTGCATCAACTATAATACCGAGAAAGCACCCATGACCCAGATAATCGGTCAATAAAGGGAATATCACCATTATACGTAACATCATATTACATACATGCATCGAGAAGACACAGAAGAGACGAAAGGGAAAGGAAACCGCGGCTACCGCTAATTATGGGATAGGTGTGGACAGGAACGCGCACCGGAGCAGTTCATCGGCAGTAGGCCGCTGCTCGTAGTCCAGGTGGAAAGTCATGTCGAGGAAATCCACAGCCTCCTGGCTCACATTGTCTGGAGCAGGGGGGCGAGCCTTGTTGCTGCCGATAGCGAAAATGGCTTGCAGCTGGCTGCAGTCCGGGAAGGGGTGGGCACCAATGAACATCTCGACAACGAGACAGCCCAAACTCCAGATATCGGCTTTTTTGGTGTGTGCGGTCTGTCGCACGACTTCGGGTGCCATCCAGTACACACTTCCCTGGAGGGATGTGCGGTGGATATTGGCACCAGCACCACCACTGGCCCGGGCGCCGAGGAGGTGGGATGCTTCGACACGCTTGGAGATACCGAAATCGGAGATCTTAACACCACCCTTGTTGTCAACTAGAATGTTGGCACCCTTGATATCACGGTGGATGATATCCCGGCCGTGGAGGTATGATAGACCGGCTAAGATTTGTCGGACAAAGTTCTTGACAAGGGGTTCTTGGAAGGTGTTGTACTGCTTCAGCATTGTGGCAATAGACCCACCAGGCACATACTCCAGGAAAATGTTGAGATACTGATCGTCGGCAACGGTGCCAAGATATTGCACAATGTTCGGGTGGGACATGCCTTGCAACAGCTCGATCTCATGCTTAAGAGCATTTACCATGAGGTTCTTCCGTTGGTCGAACTCTGTGCCCTTTGTAGCAGATGGGATTTCAACCTGCTTGACAGCCATAAGCTCTCCAGTAATAGCATGAAGAGCCAGGTAAACGCTTCCGAAAGAACCCTCGCCAATCAGAGATCCCTTCATCCAGTTCTTTGGTGCAAAGTTATTTCCAGCCAGGAAGTCCACAAGGCCATCATCCTCTTCTTCGCCATCCTCGGCTACAATCATGCTCATGCGATCGTTAAAGGAACCGCCATCTGTGGCCACAACACTGAGACTCTCAAAGCTCTGGCGCGATTGCCGCGATTGATTCGCGTCGTCGGAGCCACTCTCAAAGGAGACATAGGATTTTCGGTTGGGCTCAGTGGGTGACTCTTCTTGAAGTGGCTGAAGGGAACTAGATGCTATAGAATCCCGATATGAGGATTGAGGTAGGTTGAACTTGGAAACTGAAATGGGTCGCGGGATTCGTACTGCCTGTGCCACTCCAGGGCCATGGAGCCATGCATCGGCAATGCTGGGAATTGGAGGTAAATGGGGTAATGGCGGTAGGGGAGGGGCATCTTTCATACTTGATGCAACGCTGTAGTTGCTCATAACACTCATACGACTGGCGGCACGACTCAAACGTTGAGATCTGCGCATGGTCTTCTCGATGTTTTCTCGGTCATGACTGGGGAAGAATGATTGTAATTCGTGAATAATCATCTCACTTGGAGGTCTCTGTCCGAAGAACGAGCGGAGTTTAGCCACAGGATTACGTTCACTGTTCGGACCTTGCGATTCATCAACACTGGAGTTGGATGGGCGGTGTCGAGGGCCCAGCGGAGAAAGCGGCTGCTTAATATTATGCCAAGATTCGCCGGTAAGTTGCTGGATCTTGTGTTTCTGGCGCTGGTTGGAATTACTCAGAGCATGCTGGTGGGTGGCCTGGCTCTCATCATATGCAAGCTGGGATGCACGACGAAGCTCGTCTTCATCGGGCTCCCCAGCATGAATCTTCCGTAGAATCAAGCGACCTCGCTCGGACTTGTTGTAGCCATCGCAAATCTCCATGAGCTCCGATTCGGTGAGCTTCCGGCAATTTGACAGGTCTGGGTCCAGTCCGTCTAATACATAGAAACAATAATTTCTGTATTGGTGTTCAGGAAGCTGTAGTTTCTTCAAAACACACAAAATAACTTCATCTGGTGTTCTGCAGTTCCGAATATCCAAGACCTTGGTTTGTCCACCGGTGTGTATGACACGGATGACAGGGGAGTTTGATGGGAGGGGGCCCATCGTGAGACCGTCAAGACTAGGGTTTCGAGGATGGGAGCTCGGTCGACCTTCGTTCGGAGTAGGGGGATTTCGGCCAGAACTTGAGCCACCTGAAGATGGGTGATTAAGATAGTCCTTGCGCCATGTGCCTCTTTCGGCGTCACCGGCAGGTGGCGACGCAGGCT